GAAAGAGATAACCAGGGAGGGAAGGTTAACGAATACGAGAGAATCCACTTTCCCTGGGCTGGAGTGCAGGTCACAGATCATTGTAAGTAAGGCCAGGAGCCTCATGTGTTACAACTCATTGCAGATCTCTCCCCAGCCTGGCCCTCTGGATCTGTCCCTTTCTCAGACATGCGCCCACACCTACCCAAATAATCAAATCAGTTCTCACAGGGTTGGAAAGGAAGGAGATGGATAAACTGTAACACTCATTTCTGTTTCTAAGTCTTCAGTGCATGATGTTGGACAAGGACAGGTGTACTGCTCGAGGACAAGGAGCACACAGGTCCCCAACACAGACTGCACTTTTATCACAGTGATTTCAACCAAGAGAAGATTAAACCACCTGCCTTTAATTTTCACCTCAAAATTTCAAGACCCCACAAAGGCAGAAGGAGTCCCCGCCACATGACAGATGAGCATTCTCAGAGATGCTGAAAGTAGGGTGCTGGACAGTATAGTTGGTTGCGCCAGATGCAATTGTGCCAAAGCTGGACCACGTTCTCCTGAGGTTGTCGACCTACCAGGCTAGCATTATAATCTTTTCAGACCTTGTTTTTCCAGTGGGAAGATTATTTCTCCCCAAGTTCACAGTTGCATTTTACATTTAAAATATGAGGTTTGGATCTAAGAGGCATAAAAATTAATAAAATTGTCTAGGCTATTGGTTTTTAAGCACTGTTCATATTTGCCTCTGTGTATTTAGTTGATTTGCTTTTGTATTCTTTCCATTTTCACACGCCTCTGCAGTTCCTACTGCATACAGCCAAAAATAGCTGCGAGATGAGATGCTGCCTTAGTATATTGACACTTCTGTATCCATCTCAACTAGGGAAGAAAATGAAAAAGACTACAAAATCAATGAGCACCCGAGTGTTTCAAAGCTTAATTTTGTTTTAGTTTGGGTTTGGGTAGGGTTCCAACTTATGTTAGACCAGGCTAGACTGAGACTTTCGCCATCCAAATAAGTGACTAAAAGAAGGACAATGAAGACTATTGAATAGTGCATTACAGGCTACATTCCCATC